CCAAATCGAGCCGCGATAGTTTAAATCATTTCGGGCCTCCAGAAAGGCGCGGCTCGATTTGGCCAAATTTTGCCGGGCAGCCTCCGGGCAAAATTTCGAGCTGGGGGGGTGGGGTCTGGGGAATCCCCCCCATTTGGAAATAAATGAATTAATTGAATTAATTGAATTCATTGAATTAATTCAATTAATTCAATTAATTCAATTAATTCCACCCCCCCTTTGGAAATAAATGAATTAATTGAATTAATTGAATTAATTGAATTAATTGAATTAATTGAATTAATTGAATTAATTCAATTAATTCAATTAATTCACTTATTTCCAAAGGGGGGGGAGGGGTGGGGGCTGGGGAATCCCCCCCATTTGGAAATAAATGAATTAATTGAATTAATTGAATTAATCGAAATAATTCAACAAATTCAATTAATTCAATTAATTCATTTATTTCCAAAGGGGAGGTGGAATTAATTGAATTAATTGAATTAATTCAATTAATTCAATTAATTCAATTAATTCAATTAATTCATTTATTTCCAAAGGGGGGGGTTCAATTAATTCAATTAATTCAATTAATTCAATTAATTCAATTAATTCAATTAATTCAACTAATTCAATTAATTCCCCCCCCCCTTTGGAAATAAATGAATTAATTGAATTAATTGATTAAATTCATTAAATTCCAGGGGGAAAGTGGAAATTAAGGAATTTAATGAATTAAATTCTGTCTGTGCAACCCTACAGGACCTAAAATAGGGTCTATTTGGAACATGGCTCTTGTGAATAAGTATACGTTTTGGGGCCTGTTTTCCTCTTGTAAATACGATTCCCAGCTTCCAAATAGACCCTATTTAAGCTGCACACCCCCCACCCCCCCCACCCCCCCCCCCCACCCCCCGCCCTCACAAGGGGGGGGTTATGGATCTTGGGACTGTGCCGCCGCCAGGTCTAAGGTTTTTAGAGTGTGTGTGACTGAAAGCACTCGAACGTGTCCTCGAAAACGCACTTTTTTGGTGTAGAAAAGTGCGTTTCCGATATGCTTTTTTTTTTGGGTCAGGTCAGCAGGAAAGCAAGCGAGCCCATTTTCCAAAAATGCACTTTTTTCATGTGGAAAAGTGCGGTTTCCGGTATGATGTTAAAGTTTGTGTGTGTGTGTGTGTGTGTGTGTGTGTGTGTGTGTGTGTGTGTGTGTGTGTGTGTGTGTGTGTGTGGCTGAAGCACTCGAACGTGTCCTCGAAAACGCTTTTTTTGGTGTGGAAAAGTGCGTTTCCAATATGTTTTTTTTTTGGCCAGGTCAGCGAGGAAAGCAAACAAGTCCATCCCACCCATCTTCCATCTGTCTCTCTACTCACACACACAATGGCGGAGAGAAAGGTTGGGAAGGGGGGGGGAGTGGGGGCGTGGGGGGGGGGTGGGGGGGGGGGGGGGGGGGGGGGTGGGGGGGTGGGGGGTGGGGGGCGGGAAGGGGGGGGTGGGGGGGGGGGTGGGGGCGGGGGTGGGGGTGGGGGGGGGGTGTATGGATCGCAGAAACCGGCGGTGCCTTGTTGTTGGTGAACTTCCTCTGCACCTCCTGTCGTTGTTGTTCATGTGCATGAGTTAGCATGTCTCTTCTGCTAATGTTGGTAAAGTGTTGCTGAACTCCCTCTGGTTGTGGTGATGATCTACCTCGCCCGTTCTCCGCTTCAAGACGTCTGACCTGTCTTTGTCCCGTCCGCCCTTTGGGGGCATGTGTGTGTGTGTGTGTGTGTGTGTGTGTGTGTGTGTGTGTGTGTGTGTGTGTGTGTGTGTGTGTGTAACCTGCTGTACATGCAGGATTGGGGTCACGCCCGTTTTTCGATTTCATGCAGGGGGTCCCAGATCTGCTACTCATGCTGGGACCAACGAAGACCATAATTAGCAGATGTGCAAACGTACCTGCTATGAGGAGTACCTGGGTGGTTGCGTCCGCAGCTGGTATCCTCAACGGGGACAGAAACCTCATCCCCGCAACGTGTTACATGTTGTCGTCAGCGTGGCACTTCGCAGACGACAACATATGCCATTCCTGGTGTCTGGCACGACGACGACACAAGGGACAGAACCCGCATCCCAACGATCATTCCTGTGGTCTGATCTGGGGCCTGAAACCTAGCCCAAACAATGACGACAATAGTCACTGACTATGCTTGATGTTGTCCAGTCGAATGTCCGTCTCATCAGTTCGAAACAAGTCAACGTGTGTGTGCGCCTGTGTGTGAGTGTGTTTGTAGTGTGTGTAGTGTGAAAGGCAAAGCGCTTCACCTCAAATTTGCTTCTACACTTACTGCATGGTGCGCCAGCTCAGATCAAGAAGGGGACACAGCATGTCACAGGGAGTGTGTCCAACAAAGACGCCAGTCCAACTTCCTGTACCTGCGAAGAACCTGTTTGTGACGCTTTGTCATGAAAACTGTGCATGGTTTTTCTTCGCTGTGCAAGCTCAAAGCTGTACCACATCATAAGCACATTCATGCTGTCTGCCTCTTTGGGGCTTTGGTCGTGCATTGGATGTGGCTATGGGGTGCCTTGGTCGTGCATGCAGTTGGTGGCACCGGAGGAGTATGTCAAATGTCGCACATGTGTGTAGTGTAGTGTAGTGTAGTGTAGTGTATTGTAGTGTAGTGTAGTGTGGAACGTGGAATGTGGAACGTGGAACGCGGAATGTGGAATGTGGAACGTGGGACGTGGAACGTGGAATGTGGATTGTGGTGCGTGTCGTGATGTGTCGTGTAGAGTGGTGGTTTAAGCATATCAGCTACCTCGTGCAATGTTCACAATGCAGGTGTTCAATCACTACACGTTACAATGCGCGGTGATGGGACGTGTTTTTGACAGACATCATTTGGTCAATCTTTCCAAGTTACAATATGTTTCGCAGTGATGGGGATTTTTCTTGACAACCGTCAACCCTCAAAGTTCATTGCGCACACGTACCTTGTGTCTTGCCATGTTCGCTGTAAAGTCTAAGGCGCGGCTTTGGCATTACAGTGCTCGGAGCAAGGAGAAGGAAGTCAAGGTGCCTGAAGCAAACGCGAGTGCACGCACCTTCTTTTGGCACTTGGTAAGGTGCCTAAGTCTCGGCCACCTCCAGAGCCTTGACTGCAATACATCCCAAGCAGAGCACAAAATCTTTGCGCTCGCTGGGCGCTTTGCTGCGCATGACCTGTGCTTTTTGCTTCGTGTGTCATGCCTTAGCTGCTAATCCATGGTGGTTTACCCAGTGTCTTCCAAGTGGCACTTTGCCAGAATTCGAAGCGGATAGAATGAGCTTTCTCGGTGTTCCCTGGGAGCCGGGAGCACTGATTGACCGGCAAGGGACGTGTATTCACTAGTGCTTTCCTTTTGCCTCGACAGTGTCCAGTTTTCGTTCGCTTGCCTCAGGAATTGATTACGAGCGGTCCAACCGAGAACCTTAGGACCCAAGCGACAAAACAAAGCAGTGGCCCTGACCATCATATTATGTTGAGACACTTCACAGCATGGAATTCCTAGCCTGCCCACCCTGATCTTGCCTACCTTTTTTTGCCCTTCGTTAAACGTTACGCGTCAATCAATCCACCCGTTGCCATGCATGGCCCACCCAATCTTGCTCACCTCCTCGTCCCCCCTGGCACAAGCAGGCCCACGAGCTCCTAAGCCCTAAAACCTAGAAAGCCTAAGAACCATCCAGACCCCAGGAATCCCCAAGAAGCCAGAACACCAAGCCCCACAACATTTTTTCTCCTGAACACCAAACGCCAAACCCTGGTCTAAGCCTGAAGACGTCAAGCCCTGCCTGAGAAGCCTAAACCCCAAAATCGACAAGCCGTCAAACCATACAAAGCCGTAGCCCAAACCAAAGCCGGGGAGTGCCCTGTGCCAATCGTGTACTTTCTCATTTTCACCTCCTCACCTCCTCACTTCAAGATCAGGAGGCACGTTTACCGAATTTCAACGGTGTTGACCAAGGATGCGGTGGACAAGAAGAGCCTAGCGGGAGTCCTGGCTTCTCTGGCTAAAATCGTCGTCATCTCATCGCAATCTTTTGTGTTTGAGGCCGCCTTGAAGCAGGAGTTTATGGCCCAGAAGAGCGAGGGCAAAATCAAGGCTGCAGTGTGGCCCAAGACGTTCAGCAGTACGATCGGCGCATGCGCACACGCACTATATGGAGTTGCTGCTCAGTTCGCATGTCTGCAAGAAGTTTGGTTGTTGCATTGTTGCTTTTGTCAGTTGGATGCGCCCCTCTACATTTCCGAGCTTCGGTGGCAATCCAAGGCTGGTCCAAGGGGCTTGTGAGGCTTATGCTTGCTTGTATTGTTCCATTCGACTTTTTCCTAAGAATGCCAACATAGTCGAAGTCGCCTTACCGGTCCTGATCTAAGTACGTGTTGCAACCTGGTAGAGTACAGCTGTGGCACGGTATAAGTAAGGTGCATGCTGACCTTGACGATCCAATCTTGATTGACCTGGCAGGTTTCACATCCTCTCAACCCGAACGAGTGGGTAAAAACAGTGTGCGGCCCATCTGCTTTCGTCGTATGGCAATTTGTTAAGTCTAGAACCCTCCAAGACCTCAGGCGACTTCATGTGACATTTTCGATGTCGCACCGTTTTCCAAGTCGATGCCTCAATTGGTTTCTGTCGCCCAAAGAAAGTCATGAATGGAGACGTCTGTATCGGAGGCAGATGCCGCTCTGGGAAAGGTCCGAGGGGGGCATCTTCGTGGGCGAGCGTGGAGCTGGATCAGGGCACGCTCTGTGTGACATTTTTCACGTGCGTTTGGTAGATTCCTGAAGCTGCATCACAGGCTTCATGTGGATCAATGCCTGTGGTCCAACGTTGGTGAGCTCCTCATGCAGACAAGCACGTGTGTTGATGGCCTGTTGGCCGGTCATCGTGCTACTATCTCTCTTGTCCTCGTGTGCCCCATGTACCGAGTGCACAGGCACACACATTCAGACGAAGCAGGCACTAGCTTGACATGCTACAAAGTCCACCACCCATGTCTCAAACCATTCATGCAGCAAGGTCGCAACTGGTGCGGGTTCAAGCTGTTTGCGCTTTGGCCCTGGTCACGGCCTTAGGGCTTGGTGAAAACAAGTGGACAACGTTCGGAAGGTGTTTGGAAGCGTGATGAAGCGTGAGTCAATCGACAAGGTCAGAGAGGCACAGGATCCTGGACGAAGCTGGCAAAGGTCATCCAGTCATGCAATGTATTGGTGGTCAAATGTTACAGGGCCTCGCTGTGGTTGCAACCTGATTGAAGGTGCAGTTTTCCGACCCCCATTGACAAAGAGGGAGGACGACTACTTTCTGGCAGCTCCAAACACAAATATAATGTGTGCGTCACCACAGACTCTTGGCTTTTGTAGGTTCTTGTGCAGCTACGGCTTCTTTTGGACTTCTTGCTAAAATGGTAGAGACCTGTTGCGGCTCTTGCGCTGACATGCTGACGGCTCTCTTTCATGCAAACCTCTGCGGTCTTGCATCGGGGGTGACCCCCTTCCCGTACCGTATACCTTCCGACAACTTACAAGCGTGCAGGAGGCTTTCATCGGCCGTGCCAAAACCGTGTGGGCCTGAATGCAATGATGCGGTCGCTTGTTGTCGCTCCTGGCTATGGCGAGAGATGTCTGCAGAGACCAGGTTGCTTTAGTTGGGCCTGGAGATGTCTGGGCTTGGACCTCAAACCTCAACAAATTTGGCGCGAGATTTTGCAAGTCGGTGCTTGGCATGAAAAGGTCTTTAGTGGTGGACAGCCTCACACAGCAATGTGCGTGGGCGACGGAGTCAATGTTTGTGCATATGAGCCGGGCCCTTGTAGCGCTTCAGTGTCTTGCTGTGATCGTTTGCCGCAGGCCGCAGGGGTGGGAATGAAGCTGTTCGAAGCTGTTCTTTTTGCAGCATTTTGGCTCCTGGCACCTGTACCTGGCAGCCTGGACAAGGCACTTCCAGCATCTCGGCTGCTAGAGTTACCAATAAACGTCGCTTGACATTGTGAGTTTTGTAGCTTCATGCTGTGTTTGCAGCCAAGGCACAAATGAGCACAAATGCCGCTGCAGATGCTTGTTTCAGATAAGTGTGGGCATGGTAGAGCATCGTTTAGCGGCTCTAGCAAGCCTGCGAAGGTCGTAAGATCCTGGGTTCTGGAGTGGAACATGATTGGTTTGGAGTTCCGGATATGCAGTTCAAATGCCAAAAGCGAGCGGACCAATGTCAACAGCAAGCAACAACCAAGCATACATCAATTTGCTTGCCAGAAGCAGCTTCAAGCGCCTTTGAATGCTCTGATCTCGTGATTTAGCGACTCAGCCCAATGCTCACACCTGCCCAGTGACCTTTGTTGCTTCTGCTACCCTTTGTACTGCTCTCCCTTCCGCCACAGACACATCAGCAACCGCAAATTGGGCTGCAATGCTCACAAGCAGCGGCACTTCATTGTACTTCGGATAAGACGGCGCTGGGTTCTTGAGGCTCCTAAACCATCCCAACTAGTACACATTCCTTTTGTTGTTTTTCTAGTGACCTTTCGGATCATTTCTTGCCACCCGTGTCGGCACCAGGATGGCTTGATGATGCTTCGTGTTCCTGGCTCCGCAAAGAACGGCGTGCCAGTGTCGGTGTCTCTTCTGATCAAGCTGGGCAGTCTTACATTGAGGGTTTGTTGCACTGACACCTGCTCCCAGCGGCAGCGCCTGACCTTCATGATGGTGCAACGCTGTACTTTGCCCCTTCTTCCCATCGCCCCTCAATGACAAACCAATCATTTAATAGCACATTTTTGCAATAGTGCCCTTTCTGAGGGCATCTTGTAGCAAGGGGACTGGCAGCAGGCTTCGGGATGACTAGATCAGGCATAATGCGGCCAGTGTGGACATTTGTGGACTTCGGGGTCTGAAGGGATGGGGAGACGGCTGCATCGGGCGGGTGTGATGAGGGGATGGGAAGGTGGGCCATGCGTTGCTAGGCCCTAGGCTCTAGCAGCATCGTATTTGTTTTCACTTGCGTCAGGCACAGAGAGGGCATCCAATGCACGCAGCATCCGCAGCCAGGAAAATCCTGCTAGAGTACGTGGATCATTTTTTGCTGTCGTGGCAGCAACGCCCTCTCTCCTGCACATGCTCCATGTGCCAGCGTGGTATCACTTCCTGCAGGTTTGTGGACGTGTGTGCTATGTTCCGCAAGCGGGATCAATCACCGATATGCAAAAAGAGCTACAAGCTTGTCTGGGAATGCACGAGCAGGAGCCCTGCGCATGTTTTCAGCCTAGCTTGGCCTAGCAGTTTGCTTGGACTGTTTCGTACCTGATCATGTGGGTCGTCTGCTACCTTTGAGATCTCAATAATGACAGGAGTTCGATCTATCTGACAGCTCGGGCAGGAGGAGCCTTGCCTTGATTTCTTTTTTGCGTCCTTAGACGTCCTTCGCAGTCATCGCAGTCAGTAGTTGAAAACAAGGCACGACTTGCGATTCCGAATTCGTCACTTCCTACACTCGATGAAGTCTTCCTTTTGCTCTGTTCTTGCCTCACACCCTCGCATAGCTTCTGAGGCTCTTGACCGATCAGCAGCTTCAAGATGCCATTCAAGGTTGCGAAACCTGTTTTGGCTCAGCTTGCTCATCTTTCTGGCTTGGGTTTGTCTCGCAGTAAGATGCGAGCTTGATCACGGAAAGCAATGCTGGCCAAGGTGGCCTTGTTCCACTACAAGCCAGCCTGTCTGATGCGTCCGTTCACTTGATTGAAAATCGTCGCGAAGAGCTGGCACAAATGCAGTGGAAGGCGTGTTATCCAGCGGGGCTTGAGTTCATTTTTAAGTGAGAGGGGTGGGACGCTCTTTCTGTTGTGAGACCGAAGTGAGTGGCTCAGCATGTGGCTCAGCAAGCGGCTCAACCCTCCTCTCTGCAGGTGCTGCGTGACAAACTCCAAGGCTGCAACGCCGACGTGCTGGCTTTGTCAAGGCAGGTCTTGGAGTTGCAGCAGCAGACGCTTGGGCAGCAAACAGCCGATAAAGAACACATGTGTGTCATCTGTCATTTCGTAGATGTCATGTTGGCCCTCTCATGCCGGGGCTGAGGGCAAGCGGCCCCTGAATGCAGCAGCCTTCCACGATGAGCCTTCAAGCCTGAATCCGAAGCAACAGATCTCACGTAAACCAGTACACTGAACCCTAAATCTTACTCGCCGTACCTGGAGCACACCCCAAGCCCAACACATCAAACCCTCCACCAACGAGCCCCCCCCAAACCTCAAACCTTCTACACTCTTGAACCCAGTTGTGCCCTTGAGGTTTGCAAAGTAGTACCATAGGAGAACCTGCGCGGTCCTGGCACGGCATCTAGGGTGATCTGAGGGGTCTTGAGTCTAGAGGAAAGGCGTACATCGACGAGGCTTAGCGTCTGCTTGCGGTGATGTTTATGAAGCACCCTGTTCCGGTTGTGGCGCTACAGCCTGCTGGCTTTGCTAGTGCTCGGTTCGAATTTCTCTCAGAGGAGCGTCAACTGCCAGCAAGTTGGTGGCGCATGGGGCCACGCTTGGCTGCGTAGTTTTCTTTGGTTTTAGGGTTTTTGTTGTGTTTTGGGGGGGCTAGGGTGGGGGGGTGCGGGCGGGGGATAAGAACGTCATTCATATTGCATCCATGCCCAAAACACTGGCATTTTCAGTGTTTTGGCCTCTTTGTACAATATACTGCACAAGGATGGTGCAAGGATGTGGAACGAGACATGTTGTCACAAGCGTCCCTGCTTTTGGCGCCCTTGGCGAAAAAACCGGTGTTTTCAGCGTTTGCGATTCTGATTTGAGCAACCTGCTGAAAGAAACGATGTGCTCTATCTCTGTCTTGCTTCAAGGTTTAGGCATTTGACATGAAATTTACCAAGTAGTTTGACCCCTAGTTTTTGGGTCACGGTTTTTCGTCCTCAAATTCCCAAAATGTGTGAACACACTGGCAGGCGTATGCTGGCGTGGGTTAAAACGCACGTCTTTTAGACATTGATCCGTGCACGATCCAACACGGCCAAGTATGGACCATGTTGTGTGTCAGCATGCGCCAACGTTCATGCCAGTAGGAACCCCGAAGAAAACTGTTGATCAAGGATCCAAGTGGAAGCGAAGGAGCGAGAGAAAACGATGGAGGCTGCGAGGGTTTGATTTGGCAAGCTGATTCTGTGAGTTTGGGATGCCTTTTGTTGGTCAGGCTTTGCGGGCAGATATCGGCAACCAGCTGAATCAAGATCGAGCTTCTGCCGAGGTCAAGTTGGGCGTTTGAGAGCGGTATCGGAGAGTTTTCAAAGCTTCGTTTTGCTCACCGAACAGCAGAATGGCACAGGCTGGCATGCAGCAGCTTGCGGAGCAGATACATTCTTTCACGGCCCTGGTGAACTCTGCTGCTTGCCTGCATATCTCTGGATGATCATTGTCACCTCCAGGCCCCTGTTTGCGCCGCATGTGCCGCAGAGTGATGAACATTGCAAGTTGCAACACAAGTGAGGAGCATTACCACCAGAAGTCAATTCAGCGTTGCAAGGGCGAGCTTTCTCAGCAAAGCTACGCAGCAGTGACTCAGGAACAAAACAAACGTGAGTATTCCCAGAAAGTCTTGGACAGCCACATCCAGGACACACGACATTGGCACCGAGTTCAGTTCTTCTGCCGCTCAACTGGGCACCGCATTTTATGTAAACGTGACCTCCGAATGTACAACCAAAACCAACCCAGTGTTCATATTTTACATCTGGGGAACGATTATTTAATAAGTAAGGGTAGGATCCTGCAAGGTTTGTGCCAGTCACTATACAGATGAGACTGCTTAAAAAATATGAAGCCGTTGTTAGTGGTATGTGCGCTTCTCACTGCTGTGGAGGGTCTGCTACTTTGCAAAAATAATGAGGGGTGGTGGGGGGGGGGGGTAATTTACGTGCGGAATTGGCGAATCCCAACGTATTTACAGTGTTTTCTGCACCTGTTGACTGGTGCTGCGTGTTGGCCTTCAGTGAGGACCCTGGCTGGAATGTGTCCGTTTACATGGGTTTGCGCGCGTCAAGAGGCGAAAAAACACGGTAGTTGCGGTGTTTTGCTTGTTGTCAGAAGGCCCTCGAGGTCATTTTGGCTCCCTTCATGTCCCGTGTCGGCGGGGGCCGCCTGCCAATGTTTTCCTTCCTTGTGCCTTGTTCTGAGCTCGCAGTCCTCAAAACGCCATCGATATACCTTCCACAGCGGCGAGAAGCACGCATGCCGTGTTATTGCATGTTTATGAATACAGCAAGCTTTGATTTCAAGGAACCAATTGTAACAGTTAGTCTTTTTGGTTGGCACATGACATGGACGATAAAGATCGCATTGCCATGATTCGCAATGAAATTTAAAGGCATATGAGGAAGTAGGCGTAAGCAAACACGCCACTAGACCAGCTGAAAGCCGAGGATTGGCTACGCAAACGCAAAAAACTATGAATGCCCGTCAACTGCTTACAAGAACATTCGCACTACCACAAGCCAGTGGGAAGTTCGAGCCGACTCGACCTTTCCACAAAAAACTTGAGCTGGCTCGACTTCTCGAAAAACTTGATTCTGGAATTTTCCCGGCTGCTGAGCCCACAGATCCTACAATTTCGGTGTTCTTCTGAAAATTCGAACATGCTCGAGTTTTTGCGATCTGGTGCATTCAGAGTTGTTTGAGAAATCCGAGCGAGTGTTGGCGACCTGGTGCATTCATATGAGTTTGATAAGTCGAGCTCGCCCGAATGTCCAAACAATCCCAAAACTGTGGCTTTTGCGCCCTCGGGGCTTCGGGGCCTCATGGATGACAGAAGT